CTTGCCGGTGCGTGGACTAGGCGGGAAGGACCGTGATCTGCAAGCTCCGGCTTCAGCCTTGCTGGCAGCACCTGGCTGAGGGAGACCCCATAGTGCTTAGCATAGGGTCGGCTGACCTAGGGCGGCGGAGCGTTAGAAACCCCCCTTTCCTCCCCGGGCGTGGCGCGTTTTGTATTCTGAATTGATACTTGCTGAGTCTACACTTTGGAAGAGTATATTTCGGCGGAAACATCTCTTGGTCAAAGGAAGGCGAAAGGAAGTTGATTTTTCTTTTGCAGAGTATTGTCTCCCACCCCACCCCCATCCGCGCTGGCCCTAGCTTTGACAGTAGAAAGTTAGGGACGTTTGTTAAAGGGATGCGTTCTTGTAAATTTCCTCTGTAATGAAATCATGGCTTTGAAACTGTCCAAGCGTGTAAGTTTCAGCTGGTTTCATGTTGCTGCTTTCACTCTGTGCATGCAGTGAAGCTGATTTATTCTAAGTTAACTAGACACATGAAGTATAAACACAGATGAATTAACCAGAATATTTATCTTGTATAACTATTGGGTGGTACATTATGGGCATATATTATCTCATTTAATCGTCACAGCACTCCTATCATGTAAGGTCTATTATTCTCATGTTATAGATGAGAGCATGAAAGCTCATAACACAGCCCTGAAAGCCACTTGTCCAAAGTCGGAGCTGTGATTTAAACCAGGTGACCTGGCTCCAGTTTACAGTCCCTCAGTCAGCGTGCTTTACCATCTCCCAAGCACCTGAAGAGTTTGCAAGGTGATTTTCATTTAATAAAGATGTACCAGGTGCGGGGAATGGGAAGGAAACTGAGGAACTGTCCTTGCCAGCAGAGACCCAGCAGTTCTAGAGGACAGCTTTTTCAAGCCCACACTTTGAGTATATTTTAAAGGTAGGTTTTGACCTCTAGAACCTGCCGTTCCCAAAACCACAGTGGTTTTGAACATTTGGAAGGCCATAGTTTGGAAAGTGTGATTGTACTCTAGATTTAGGAGTGTTTCTTGTTTGGAAACTTTAAAAAAGGAAATGTAGTATTGGACTAACATTAGAGGCTTTGTGTGTGCAAGCGTGCAGGTGGAATCAAATCATTTAACCTGAAATGGTGAAACTGCTGATAAAGCCAGAATATCTTGTATAATTGGTTGAAATGCTGTTTTTTCAGGTTAAGATGAAACACTGCAGATGGGCCTTCTGAAGATAAGGAGAAGAAAAAACATTGAAGACTCTGGGGAAAGCAATTCGGGTAAATATTTTGGCTAAGTTAGAAAAAATCTAATTTCTGATTAAAGCTCAGGTAAATAAATCTTATGACTTTCTTCCTCAGTTGTGTATTAATCTGCTGAAATGGTCAAGGAATGGGGGTGAGGTAGAGGTGGTGTACAATGTGACCTGCCATTCTATCTCCTATGAAGATAGAAGAATTAGGGGGAACAATTGGTAAAGCAAGGTCACCGACCAAGCTGGAGGGGATGGAATACAAGGATGCAGGTCAGGGGTACGTTAGATAGACTCCTACCAGGACAGGAGGTAGGAGGTGGTGATGATTATGGATACAGATAAATTGGTAGGAGGCAGGGTAGAGGTTGCTTCACAAAGTCCATGCAAGAGACGCCCGCTGATGGTAGAAAGAGGAAATGGCTCACTCACGGGGTTGGTGGCCTTCCTGGTGTGGGCTTGCCGACCCCGATCTTTGGGTAAAAAAGAGAGTAGTGTGAGGGTAGTTTAGCTTAAGATGGCAGATATGAACCATCCGGGTAGAGATACTTCACAGCTATCTTGCGAAATTATCTTTTTCATACTTTGTGTTAGTTATCTATTGCTGAGTAACAAATTATTCCAAAACTTAATGGCTTAAAACATTCATTATCTCAGAGTTTCTGTGGGTTGGAAATTGGAGTGTGACTAAGCTGGTTGCTTCTGGCTTTGGGTCTCTCAAGACATTGCAGCCCAGATATTGGCTGGGACGTCAGTCATCTGGGGACTCAGTTGGGGCAGGAAGACTTGCTTTCATGGTGGCTCACTCATATGGCTGTTGACTGGAGGCCTCAAGTCCACGCCACATGGACCTCGGTGGGGTTTTGTAAGTGTCCTAACAAGGCAGTTGGCTTCTCCTGGAACAGATGGTCCAAGAGAGAGCAAAGAGGAAGCTGTGCTGCGTTTGTGGCCTAGTCACACATCACTGCTTCTGCCACATCCCTTTAGAACTGGACCATTTAGCCCAACCCACAGTTGGGCGGGGAATTAATTAAGCTCTGCCTCTTGAAGGGAGGAAGATACAAAGAATTTTCGAACATATTTTAAGACTACCACACACCTTCTTTAGGGGCAAATAAGCACTTTAAAAACATGTAGATACAGCCTTTATGAGCAGATGAGAAGAAGGTGCAGAGGACTGGGGCGCGTTCGGTCAGATTTGGCTCACTTCACAATGTGGTCTTCCTTGCTGCTAATCAGACTCCATAACTGGATGTGTTACTGTGGTTATTAAAAGAAAAAGTGACTGCTGACTTCTGATTGACAGAGGATCCTTTTAGGAGAAAAAAATGCCATAGTGGGCAAAATATAAATTTATTACACCGAACATGAATTTTGGTAACATTCATGTTAGCTTCTACACTAGAATTTAGACCTGGGAGAAAGGAACTCATTTTTCCTAGAAAAGAAACGGAGGACTAAGATAATTATTGACTGACTTCTGTGAATGTAAAGGATGCGAGACAATATAATGCAGACTCCAAAGGAGATAGTCTAGGTTGAGATCCCAAGTCGGTCATGTCATAGCTGTGTTTGTGCTTAGCTTCTGCCACAGTTTTCTCATCGGTAAAAGGGGGAATTGTAAATGGATAGTTACTTGTGATGATTGGATGAGTGAATACACGTAAAGTATTGAAAACAGTGCCTGGCACATAGCAAACGGTGAATAAATGTTAGCTATTGTTATGGTAGCTATATTTTATTTTAATAGTGAGCTAATACCGTGGAATGAACATTTCAGAGTAGGATAACATTGACCAAAATATTTAGAGCCTAAACTTTAAACTACTGACCATATTGTACTTTGTCACTTTTTGTGCATATATCTGGCTCCATAACCATCTAAAGTATTGTGTCAGATGTCACCAGTAGTATTGTATGGGTCACATCCCCATAAAATTCTCGGAAATAGTCTTTCTCCTGGTTATACTTACATAACAGTTTAGTTTCAATTGTAGCAATATTCTCAGCTCACAGGAATTGGCTATTAAATGAATTTGTTGGGCTCTCTGTGTAGCATCATACTAATAAAAAATAATTTTCTTGGAAATTGATATGGAGAGAGTATTGGTGCACACATGTAGCCAGTTTCTTCCTCTCTCCCCCTCATATCCAAAGACCCTATTTTGTTGGTGAGTGGTTTGAATATCTATTAGGGAGGGTTTTCTGCCTGAAGTGACTTAGGTACAAGGTAAGCGAGGAGCTTAAGGACCAGATACAAAAATGGAAATAGTTTTAAAAATTACAAGAAACCTTCTTTAGAATTTTACTTTGCTGATGCGTTTTAGTGTTATGCTTTCTGGTATATTTCTAATCAAAATGGAAGTGATATGTTGAATTATTGATTAAAAGAATTAAAACAAACTTGTAGAGTGTGTTCACCAGCCAGCACATAAAGCAAAACCAGAACCCCACAACTAATCAGTGTGTGGGAGAGAAGGTGGGAGGATGAAAGCTTTCACTCGGGGCAATTTCTGTTGCTTTCTGTATCGCTGATCATATTAAGGAATATGCTGATGGTAGTAATTAGTTCTGGTAGATTATTACAGGTGTCTAATATTTAAATATCATGGGTTCTTTTAGACATGGAGAAGTTGAAGTCAGTTCTTACCTTATTAATAGTTTTCTATATCTTTTTAAACTTTTTTTTATTTTTTAAGATTTTTATTGGGGAATTGGGGGAAGGGGAACAGACAAGTTGCTGTCGTTTTGTTCTTCAGTCTAGTTGTGGAGGACGTTGCTTCACTGGCCCAAGTTGGCACCATCATTGCGCTCTTCCCGGGTGAGGCAGATCATTCGCCGGCTTCTGGATGGCCGCTCACTGCGGCTGCTGGCCGCTCACGCTGGCAGCTGGCTACATACGGTAGCCTGTGGCAACCCGCTGCCACAGGGGCTGCAGCCTACGCCGTCGCTGGCGACTCACGGCAGCCCAGCTCCAGGTTGAGCTGTTGTTCAGCATCTTAGCTGTAGAGGGCAGTGTCACTGGCCCTCATATGTGGGATCCGAACCGGGGCCCTCTGGGGTCCCAAGCCAGTTCTTAACCATCGCGCCACTCAGCCGGCCCTCTATATCTTTTTAAGACTTTTTTTTTTTCTTTCTTTCAGATAAGTATTTAGGTGAACCAGCCTAAATTTCTGGCTATAGAAGTGAGGTTTGCCAAAGAACAATTTTATTGGATGACCTGACTTCTTAGATTTTGCAAATTCTTCCCTGTATAACATGAAGAACCATTGTTGTATTGTAGCATAATTATGACATTGAAAAGCACTTGCCGTTTGTTCAGTTTGCCGACTGGTAGTGACCGAATCATCAGTCACCATGTCTGATGATCTGCAGCAGCAGCAGCTGCCTGGCGACTGCTGTACTTCGGTGTGTGGTCTGCTTCTGAGGAGCTCGCTCACTCGTGTTTGTAGAACTGTGTTATTCATATTAACTCTGGTTGTAATTTATGCCATCTATTTTCTTTTGATTATGAACTTACGTTATTTAATATATTTTTTCATTTACATATTGTAATGAATGAGACACCTTTTAGTCACTGTTTACTGCTGTGAATTTTATGGTTTTTTCGCTTTCACCTTTTTTGTTGAGCTGATTTTTTAAAAGAACGTTAGTAATAGTACAGTAGCTTAGCTTCCACTGTTAGAATGTGTTTCTTGTCAAGCTCTGAGCTCTATGAGTTTTATGTTCTTTTTTTGTTTCAACGCTTTAGTGTGTTTTCAAGTAAAAGATGGCCATTTACAACTTGGCAACGGGCTCAACGCAATCGAGTAACTTGCTCGAGCTCACAGCCAAGGGAGGGACAGAGAGGGTAAAACGAGCTTTGCATTTCAAATCTGGCTTTAAAGCCTGCTCTGTTTCCAGGATACCAGGTGATCTCTGTTATATCTGATCAAATGTTATTTTACCACTTACTTCTGTCGGGCTTTAGCGTTAATTAATAGTGAAATTATATTTGTTGCATTTAGAATTCTGGGAGTGAAAAGGACCTGCAATGACTCTTTGTAGATAGAGAGGGTCATACCTAATCTTTGACCTGAGAGGATAATTGTCTATTTTGTTTGTTTGAATAAACAGAGTAGAACATTATATAATTTCGTTTTATGTACACACACCTGCTGACCCTGGCCAAAACTGTTAAGGCGACTAAGTTTGCTTTGGTCGCTCTTTTGTGGTCTTTCTGGATCTTGCTTGTTAATGACAAAAGTCATCTACTGAATTAATTTACATTAATAACACATGGTAATAATGAACGGTAGCTATTATTGACGTACACCAAAGCTGTCTTTGCATTTTAAGAGAGAATATTGGTTAGTACTCTATTTAAAGGAATGGATGGTAGACTTTTAGGCCTCGTATCCTAATGGCTAAATTTTTTTAGGCAGAGACTTTTCAAATCACTGTATGCTCGGGGTAGTGCCAACTGTTATATACATTCCAATACCATGTGAAATGTAAAAGCTCACGTATGTCTTTTATGTGAGACGTTGGTTGCAGTAGGTACCGCTCTACTTTGTGTACTTTATCCGCGCAGCATCATGGCGTGGGAAGGAGCTTCACAAAGTCGTTTGTTTTCGGCCGTCTACCTTTCCATCGGTGAATGCTCAGACTGTTTGAACCATTGCAGAAACTGTTCACATGAATTAAATAGTCTTCAGACTTTATTTTAGATAAAACTGATGTTGTGATCTGATTTGTGTTTTACTTCTGTTTTGGGATGTCGTTATGCCACAGGAAAGATAAGCAGTCTATTCAGGCAGTCCCTTGGTCTTGGTGTCTACTGAGATATTTGGGTCAATTGCCTGGCTTCTTAATGGTTAAGGAGGACATAAATTTGACTGTGAAATTGGGAACCCTACAAAAGAAACCAAACAGTAGCTGCAAACTTTTCAAGTACACAGGTGTGTATATTCTATAATAGTTTGTGGACCAGTAAACTTTGGCCTCTGGGTGCACAGTGCAGAAACTCTACAAAGTGCTTACGTCACA